GGCCAAACTTCTGTTTGTTGAATACTAGGAGAGAAATTAATCCGTTGTAGCTTCTTTACCCATCTGTCCATCCTTCATAATGCAACGTATTCCTCGACGTTTGAACCTCAAACCCTACATAATCTGAATATCTCAGTGAATGCAGCATTATTCCTATGCTTTATTAAGCACCCCGTCATGAAGGTATATGAGGGAGTGGACATACTGCTCCGCGAATGTCTAACTTTGACTTTGACTTTAAATGGAGTTCAATAGTCAGCTTCAAGCTCTACCTTCATTATCTCTGGTACCCATTGGATAGGAAAAAGGGCGAGCTCAGAGTAGGTCCAAAATATCGTCAAAATAACGAAGAATCAATCGATCAGTCAATAATTATGAGAGACGACATCAGAATCCAACTTAACGCGTTCTTTGCGCAAAGTGTGAAGTGTGAAGAGTGGAGGAGTAAGGCGAAGCAGTGTTCATCAGGCCTGTCGGATGTTTCATCTCAGATGTTACAGAACAGTGACATGTGTCACTATGGGGTCTGTACCAAAGTTTTGTAAATTTACCGCTTTGAATCACGAGAGTCAGACTCAGAATTACTTTACAACTGGTGATTTACTGCCAATCAGTTCCTCTTGGCGAAGAGCCCTTTGAGACTCACCACCAGTAATTTTATTTTCCAGCTGAACACTTGCGTTTGTAGTCCTTATGTTACATCCTCTCTGACGAGAAGGTGGGTCTGTAGTTTGCAATTGCTGCTGATAATCGCCACCGCAGTCATTCTCAGATCGGAGTCCTGCGGGACTCATGACCACATTTTACTGTCTCATATTCAAGACTCCCCCAACCTGGAGGGCCAGATCCCCATATTTATAGCCCCCAGGAACAGGGTAGCCCGGTTATACCCTCAGGTACTGGGTTTGAACCATGAGATTTATCTAATAATATAGAAAAATCCAGTCCGTACCTCACAGAAAGCGTATTGAGTTTACTGTACTGCTACCTATCTGTTAATGTTGTTTAGGGAGTTGGTTGTTTTTTGTTCTGATAACCTTGTGACACTCTTCATACAATGTATGAATAAAATTCAGATTTATTTAATGTTAAAGTAATTGGTACATACAGCCCTGCTTAGTAGTTAACCCAGTACTCTCAAGGGTTAATCTGTGCTCATATCTGTCGAACACGGATCCTAATTTACATGACACTGGGATAACACTTGGCGAAATGTCTCAAGAATGGCTGGTCTTATGTTAAATTGATGACCTACGTAAAATAAATAGAGATCGTGTTACAATCTAAAACATTTATCTGAAACCATTTTTTAAAAGACTGCGCAGTTAAATGACGTCACTAAAATACGTCTTAACACCGTAGATTTCTTACCTTCGCTGTCTACGCGTCTTTTTTATGTTCGTTCAACTTTATAGCTCACGGGAGTGTTTCTGTGTCGTCCATAACTGTTTCTCCGCTGCTTGAATAGTCGTCACCTGATAAGCTGTCACGTAGGCCCAATCGGATGGTGGTCTCCTGGATCTCGTCTGCTTTACACGTTTCCTGTTCAGCATTTTTGACATGTTGCACATAATGCTCACCTGGGAGTGGCAAGACTTTTCTCTTCTCCACAGCCTCCAGACCGGCTCTGGGTCCCACTCAGCCGCCTATATAATTGGTACCGGTGGCGCTTTCTTCAGGGATAAAGCGGCTATAGCGTGAAGCTGACCACTCACTTCCGTCTAGTTCTTAGTTCAATAATGGTGGAGGTATACCGCCACTCCTCCATGTGTCTGTGCCATAGTGCTTAACTTATTAAGCAAAGTGACACTTTTACCTTTACTGTTATCTTTTAAACCATTCTTACAATTGTCTACGGCCACAACAGTAGTACCGGTTAATGTTTCTATTTCTTTCGTGTTTAGGTGTTTTGGCGATTGTCCAGAGCGTCTAGAAATTTCGCTCTGTCCGTCCATATAACACATGTTAGCCTACGATATGAATCCAATTTAATCGTTACGGCCTGATATCTGTCATTGTAGTGACAATGAAATAAATCAACAATTGCTACAAAACTATTATAGAATCTTGACTTGCATCCCAATAAACAATGTGTGTCCTGCTTCTGAATATCATAAGGCCTTACATAGGAATTAACATATCAGTAAACGGTAAAGTAACTAAGCTCCACGGGCATTTAAACTCGAAACTAGATGGACGTGAGTGGTCAGCTACATATCCTGGCCGCTTTAACCCTTGAAAAAGACTCCCAGTAATATTGGATAGGAGGCTGGATGGAACTAAGGGCTGGTATTGACGCTGTGGCGATGGGCGATGAGAGAATTATTTTTTCTCTTGTTTATCGAACCTCGGGTATACAGCTCATAGTTTCTGACTGAACAATCTCGGGGGTATCGTGACACTAAAAGAAACTCCTTTGATAAGTTCGACGCATGAAGAGGTTTCTAGTCTTTATCTCTTCTGCAGTATCGTCAAGAATTTATCAGTTTTCTTCATTCGAACATATGGTTTTGTTCCTGACTTAATTTGACCGCAGATATGTGGCTTCATATTCGAACTCATCTGTATATAACGAGTTCCTTAGATCGTCTGTACTTAATCCTTGTAAATTCATGCATGACCACACACAGTAACGAAGTTGATCCATTTGGGACATTTTACGCTTCAGAGATTATACGTAAGTGGTTTTCATTCTCATTTAATTTAAATACTATGATAAAGAATTGTATGAACAGTAAAATTTATATGGATCCTTGTATCCGAGGCTAGTCTGAAGTGGTATGCTGTCACGTTGAATGTATAGCAAAGCCTTAGTAATATGCGTGCATTTGGTTTTATTTTACGTAATTTCCATTAACTAAAGCTTACTTCATTTGATGCTGGAGACGAAGGGTATCAGTACTGTGAGAACGGTTAATTTGGCAACAATTCTGTTACCTCGAAGGTTATAAATTGATATTGCCTCGTATTAGTGATTAGACACGAGGTTTGGGTTGATAGTTGGATTTTTTAAATATATATAAACCTTAACTGCAGCTAACTATAACTCTTTCATGAATTTACACAGTCTAAAGATCAGTGTAACTGCAGCACACAAAAGTCTTCTATGTCCTCAATAGTTGTTGCCTGGTAACTGCTGTTAACAATGAATATTCCTCTTCTTCCGTCCTCACGTCCTCGCTGGATGGCGACTAGTTCGCAACTTTGTCGTGACAATTGCTGACTTATGACAACTGATTAAGTCGGTCGGTTGGTATGTAGGTCGGTTAGATTGCTGTTGGCTCTCACCAGAACACTCATTCCTGGCTTCAGTTTTCTCGAGATCCATGACCAAGATTTTTGTTCCCTCCTAGGCATTCAAAGTCACGTCACAACCTACGGTCAGTCGGCCAGTCAGTCTTGGTGTCAAGCTTCACCTTGGGCCTAAGACAAGATTTTTGTTACTGTGAGACTGTTGCGGTTTTGTCAATGTGGGGATCCCTGTTTGACGAGGATGGGTATGTCATTTACCGCGATAAAATTCAGTAATACACAACATCTACTTAAATTTACACTTTTACATGACGTTCTATAGAGTCAGTCAGTTGTCAAAAATCCGGTTCCTTGTGAATACCTACTATTTACAGTTTTGCATGAAACTCTAGTACAGAATGTCTGGATGAAAGGTATCCAAAATAAAATAATTATATTTCAGAAAGCTTTTATTATACACATTTGTGGGTTACACCACCATAAAGGGAAACTATCAAAGTTTTTTCTGCATATATAAGTTTCTCAATAAATTTCAACGTGGGCTCCCTTGGTGGCACGACAAATATCCAGACGATCCAGCATGTTTGGTGTTACCGTAGCCACAGCGTCCCTTATTCCGGCTTTCAGGCGTTGCAGGTCGTTGATTTAACCTGGTAGACAGTGTTGTTCACATAACTCCACAAGAAAAAATTCAGTGGGGTTAAATCTGGCGACATAGGTGGCCAAGCCACTTCTGTCGATCTATCTCCCAGATATCACTACGTCCAAGTGATTCCTAACATGGTGGCAGAAATGTGGCGGCGCATGCGCGTAAGCCGGGAATGAGAAAAAGAACTTAACAAGGTTTCCCTTTCCGACGACATAAACCGGATACGTGTATGACAGTTACTTTCCGAGATACAAATATTTTATTTTGGATAACTTTATTCCGGACACCCGATATATATATATATATATATGTATCCACAATTTTTAGAAGGTCTCTATCAGTCTAGGCTTGACACAGCAGATCATGCCCTAACTGATGAATTGAACTGAGACCGCGCTGCAGCTTTCTGAGAAAATAACCGTCTTTACGATCCCTCCAGACATTCAGAGTCAGGGTCAAATTTATTTTAAGACTAACGATTTACTGTCAATGAGTTCGTCTAGGCATCTCGACGTCTCTCGCTATATAGTCTCGGTACGGACCGCATAGGAAACACCGTTTCTTTGGCCTGTTTTTTGTTGACGAACGGTTGTCTCGCAATGGCTCGATTGTTTATTGACCCGCTATATACAACGGACAATATGTAAGTAATCATGTCACAGTATGTATATTTCCTCGTCCTCCCATGACCTTGTTCTTTAAACTCTGCAGTTTACTTCTTGAAGTCAATTCTATATTTCAACATAGTGAGACTGGCTTGCCAATGACGTACTGTGGCGAAATGTTAGAGGAGGATATGTTGTGACAAGTCAGAAAGCCGGGAACCGAATGTGAAGAGAATAATTTGGAACTAGTTTTATGGTTTTCACTTTAAAGCCTGAAATTTATCTAAGTAACTAAAATTCAGTTATTACCTCACAGAAACACTATGCGTCCTCATTAAAAGGCCAGTCTGTTAATACTTTTTACTAAAATTATCGCTGTTTATTGTGATAATTACGCATAATGTATGCAAGTTACGTTATGTGAATAAGTGCATAGGTGGTACACATGGCTATATTAAAGAATTGAGAGAGGGTCTTTGTTGTGCGTGTTGCAGCCATGCCCGGAGTCAGGCGATTTCAGGGAGCAGCAGTGCGCGGCCTACAACGATGTGCCGTACGAGGGTGCCCTGTTGCTTTGGACCGCACATCACGATGACAGCGAGCCCTGTGCGCTGACTTGCCGCGGGCGGCCTGCAGGTGAACCTCTGACACAGGAGGAACCCATAGTGGTGCAACTGGCTCCTAAGGTTCAAGATGGAACGCGCTGTCGTCCAGGCAGTCTGGACATGTGCATTAATGGCAAGTGCCAGGTAAGTGCAGGGCTTTTGTGTACGCCTGGAACTCTTCCTCTGGCATTAAGAAAACATAAGATTACAATGTTATTTGCATTTTATTTTTAGATTATTTAATTACACTCTCAGTAGTAACTCAGACCTTACGTATAGCGCTGAATGGTTGGATGATACCGAATAATCAGTTGGAAAGAATGCAGTAGATAGCGGTCATGGCCTAACTTTATGTAGTACCCTGACATTTGCCTGCAACTGCTGAGGAAGGCCACTAAAACGTTCCAGTCACGACAGTCGATCTCATGGCCGATTTTCGAACCGGGAACCATCCGAATTCAAGTCAGAAGCGTTACCGTTTGATCGCCTCTATATTACGGTCTGCTAGGATTTGATACTATGAGACCTGGTGGATGATTCCAACGTTTCTGAGGGTACTTTAGGATAGAAATAATTTGTTCTGAAATTTCGAAACGGTGGTACATATTTACCAAACTACATGGCGGTACATCTCAGATGACCAAAACCTTATATAAGAAATAACAGAAAATTGAAGAAAATTATATAAACAGGAGAGTGATAATATGTAGTCTTCAATGAATTTTATTGCTTTTTTTAACTTCTTACATACTGCTTTGCTTGATCCTCTGAGGGTTTAGCTTCTTTTACGGCAGGTGCAATCTATCATCATGCATTCATGCATCATGCATCATGCATCGTTAGGTACCTTAACACAGGCCTAGCCTACATTGTTTTCCACGTGAGGCTATTAGCCTCATGTCATGCCAAACCGCGAAACTTGGTGAACCTGGTGCTGCCTACTGTGTGGTCCCTACGTTTCGACCTCTCTGTCATGGTTGATCTACCAGGAGCTTACGACCCAGCCAGCGTAGCTTTCCAGGTGACCAGGGCATGCAAAACTTTCCCCCATGTTGAGGTAGCTCCCTAGGGTGTCACAAATAATTATCAGGAAGGGTCATATGGAAGAGACATGTAGCAGAGATGAGGAAGATGACGATAAGTGTACATAAGATTTCAATCCGAGCACTTGACCAGAAGATTGCTGTCTGCTGGTGGCTTTTCTCACTAAAATTTGCGGTGAATTTGATCGAATCCACTAACTGATATAAGGATTGAAGTGTGTGAGTGTGTGTGTATGGATTATAACAGGGCCGGAGTTGCAGTTCGTCACCCTTCCTCTCTCTCTTAGACATTGTAGCTGCAACTGCTGCCCCGCTACTTCTTGCCACATTTTGACTTCTCCTCACGCGAAACCAAAACCAGGTCTAAGAACACGGCCTGTGTTTAACAGATTCCAGCATGGATTATAGGATAACATTAACGTGGATCTGTGAGGAGGTGGAGGCTTTAGAGGGCGTGGACTGATTCGGTTGTCTCAGAATAGGGCCCTGTGATGGCTTTGTGAGCAGCGCGGTAATGAACCCTTGATTTCCATAAAGGACAAGAAATTTCTTTATCATCTCAGCTACTAACAGATTCTTGAGAGGCCTCTAATGTTTACACTGCTTATACATATTACCAGCATTTTTAAACATGTGAGACATTTTAACCGGGTTAGTTGCCTCCTCGCCGGTCACGGTAGCCGAGCGGTCTAAGGCTTGTACTGTTTTCGCTTGCTTGGAAACCGGGATGGTAGGTTCGAATTCCACTCAAGGCATGGATTTTTAGTTTATGTGTATGCGTTTTTCTGTGTTTGTATACTGGTAGAGGCATTGCGACGAGCTGATCACCCGCCCAAGGAGTCATACCGAATGTGTAAGATCTGGAAAAACCGAAGTGAACGGAGAAGTTCATGGAGGTAGGCCTAGGCCCACTGGGGCTGTAGTGCCAAGGAGAAGAAAAGTTGCCACAGAATTCATCCAGTGGGCGACACTACGTGTGGTTCACTATCCAATTAACTAACCCCTTCTCAGGACGTCGAAATTTTCTCAGCTACCCTATAACGTCCCTTCATTTTGTGGAACTGAAGTTTCATTACCGTATATATATTTTTTCCCCCTTGGCACTACAACCCAAGCTCGTAGCAGGGCCTCTACCTATACACAAACACAGAAAAACATTTCCGTATATACAGCAGTCGAAATATTCTGAAGGTTCTGGTTTTGAATTTCAGCCAGAAGACCGACTGACAGGTTCTTAATGGTTTTCCTTATTCCGGGATAGTACATCGAAACCCAACCCTTTATTATTTAAATTAATAATTAACTAATCATTCTATTATTTAGGGCTACATAATCTGAGTTATTTAAAGGGACATTAAATAAGCCACAAATAAGTGAAATAAATGATATTTCCCACTAATATAATGTCAGAACTGCAACAATAATTTATATCCATTCTGCGAAATTGCTGTTATTTTTAATATCAAAACAAAAAAATGTGAAGTTAAAAGTATCGTAATTTATTGAAGCTGTCCGTGTTTCTAAGTGACAGAAAATAAATTTCACATCAAGAACACTGAGCCGTTTTTTTTTTCGAGATGGTCGAGTCGTTTAAACAAAAAGTAAAAAAAAGAAAAAGTAAAGCTATCCCTGTATCAGGCCATGAGACGTTGAGGGTCCCACATTATCTAGACAATTGGTTCAAAGATGGCGGTAAGATTGTCAGCCTTACCCGCCGGCCGCGCTTTACTCCCCAGGAAAATTATTTAATTAATCCCTGGTACTCATTTCTGTTAGAGGCTGAGTGAACCCCAGGGCCATAGTGCGGCTGAAAGGATTAGGTCAATTGAAAGAAATCCAATTACCTCATCGGGACTTGAACCCGCGACCTTCCGGTTTGTAGCATAGCCCCTCAACCAACTACGCTACCGCGTGCCCCGTCATTCGAACAAATTAGTTTTTATTTAAAACTATCACATTATGTTCAAAGGCCAACAGTTTTGGAGTACAGTCTTCCTGGGAAATTGATACTTACTCAGCCATGAAGAAATTAACCAAATCCTATACCGGTTCACTATTGAACTCCGTCTCTCTACATACTGTACGAGTATATTACAACCTACGCTTGTGTCCTTCGAGTGGCTTTTTTTCTCGATATTTCGCAGCCACAGTTTCGATTCGTGCACAATTTGATATTGTCCCAAAACTCAAGGCTGCAGTATCTCCATCTTCCATCATTACACTGAAGTCTGATTGTAATAATTGTAAACGAATGTAAACGTAAGAAATGCTGCAGGATCGTAAACCCATCGATAATCAAGACAACACCTTTGAGAATTCTGCAAAATGATATTTTAAAGCAACCAATTAGATCTGCAATACATATTTTAGCTTTACGAATTTCGCATTTTTTCAGAACTGTAACATGTTTTGATATGTAAGATTTGAGGCTGTGTCTGCTTTTACCGGTTCTCACGATCTCTTCGCTTGCAGATTTCTTATATTTTTTTCTTCTACCCTGAAGATGGAGGCGATACGTTCCTCCGAAACGTCGGTTAACACCACATATACACGGTGCCAAATCCCAGAAAACTGTTTTCTTCATGTTTTGATATGCATCAATTTCTAAAATAACTTAATTATCAATCCGGTGTGTTTATTCTAATACGATATTAGTGTTTCAACCCTAACCGTGTTTAAATCATGCATGTGTAAAGCAATTTGACGTGTTGTTTAAAGCGTAGCGGTACATCCTATGTATTACACATTGGGATTTCTAATAATTTCAGTATTCGCCGAAAGTTTAGATTATCATACAGCTGCAGGATATGAATATGTTTTCTTATTCTAATGTATTCATAGAATGAGATCCAACTCGTATAAGCATTAAAATTGATAATAAGTCAGAGGTTTATTAATGGCGTGAAGAAAGTAAGGATTTTAGAAAATGTTTCCATAAAAATTACACGTTTTCAAATTTCCACTGCAACAAGTTTTCCAATTATGACCTTTCGGACTGTTACACCCTGTAGCCTTAGAAGTAAGTGCAACATTTCGATGGAATATTCATCCATCTTCAGAGTCGACTGTGAAGAAGGAAACAACATTTTTCTCCTAAACGTTCATATCTACAAACAACGCTAGGCTGTGCCACAACCCAGAAGACCACAATCTTTAAATTGTCACTCGGTTTTAGTATTGAAGTCACTACTATTGCACGTCCTTAACAACGAAACTCATATATTCAGTTTTTATTTTGAAAAATAGAAGTTTATACAAAAAGGGCTAGGCAATGCCCATACGACCCATACATTCAGCAGCCGGATTATGAAATTCATTTTACATCTATCGGGGGAGGGGGAAATACAGTTCAAGACAGAAACTTTCCAAACTTTCTCTCTCCTCAGTCTGTGCATTCCACTGTGATTCTTTTAGGGGCGGTTACAGATGGTAGATCGGTAATAAATTACAAATTCCAGTGACAGGCAGAGCAGCTTGAACATTATCTCAGGGTCTGATCCTTGATTCTTCGGAAAGAGATGCTAAAAGTAAATGTCTGGTGACCAGTAGCAGGCAGACATTTCGGAAAGTAAGCAGAGACTGTGAAGAGGTTAGAAGGGAAGCGCGGTAGAACATTCTTATCATTTCGGTACACCCATATTGCTACTTGGGCCAATTAAAACGGGTTTAAATTATAACTGCAGTGATGTCTGTATAGTTATCTTTTGTCGCATTTCCTATTCATAATCGGCTGAAATACTAAGAAGTTTTGTCGTCATTGCTTTAAACTTCTCCTATATAATACAACATTAAGAAAGTTCGAGAAAGTGCCACAAATATTAATACAGAAGCTCTATTAAATGTTAGTTTAATGGTTGGTATAGACATATGAGTGAACCATAGAGAAACAGGTATATATATTTATGCCTCGACATCAAGATGCAGGACGAAGCCATAATATTTTCACGTATTTAGTGACTAGACACGGTCTTTTTATTGGTAAGTAAAAGAAAAAGTAAAGCTATCTCTTTACCAGGCCGTGAAGGCCCATAAGGTTGTGAGACGTTGAGGGTCCCACATTATCTAGACAGTCGGCTCAAAGATGGCG